CGTTCTGGCCTCACTTCCTACCACTATGCCCAGAAAACACTCCTCACAACACACTTGTTCCATTCTTCCCCTGTACCTCACGTGGAGCATTTGTTCCTATGTTTATGTATGACTCACTCTTTCACCTTAATAGAATTTATTCAATATTTCCTCACCAGGAAGGGCTTCTCAGTATTCTATATAGAATAGCTCTTCTCCACATCCTTTCCCAATCCTGCTTTAGTTTTTCACAATCTTTTCCTTTTTCTTACCATATCTGACACATTTCACCAAATGTACATTTTGGATGGCCTCTGAATGATAGACTCTCATTATTGACTCATACATGGCACTGTTTGTTTATTTAATTAGCTGGTTAAGTATATTTGACATATAGCTATAAACTCAATGTTCAACACAGAAACTGGAAACACAAATCATTATAAATATATGTAATTCTTTAAAAGAGTTATCCACTTATTTTAGAAAGAAAGAGAAGCATGAGCAGGGGAGGGGCAAAGGGAGAGGGAGAGAGAGAGAGAGAGAAGCAGACTCCCCACTGAGCATTGAGCCCCAAGAGGGGCTCAACCCCAGGACCTGAGACCAGCACCTGAGCTGAAATTAAGAGTCAGATGCTAGGGGAACCTGGGTGGCTCAGGTGGCTAAAGGCTAGACTCTTGGTTTCTGCTTAGGTCATAATCCCAGGGTCTTGAGACCAAGCCTGGAGTTGGCCACAGGGTCTGTGCTGGGTTTGGAATCTGTTTGTTCCTCTCCCTCTGCTTCTCCCCCACCCCCAATCTCCAGCTCACTTGCCCTTACTCTCGCTCTCTCTCATAAGTAAATAACATCTTAAAAAAAAAAAAAGTCAGATGCTCAACCAACTGAGCCATCCAAGTGTGTGTGTGTGTGTGTGTGTGTGTGTGTGTGTATAATTTTTAACTTAAAATATAAATGTTCTTTCCCCACTCCTTTTAGAATGTAAACTCCATGAGTGAAGGGGCTTTGTTTTGTTCCTTCTGCATACATAGCATACATAGCATCTAGAATAGCACCTGGCACATAGGCACTGGAAAAAAAGTAAGCACTGCATATTTATTATATATTTTCAAAGGAAATGTCAACATGCCCCAAACCAGAATTAAATCCTCAAAACCTTACTTCTGTTCTTCCTTCTCTCTCTATACTTCTTTCCTTTCCTTTTCTTCCCAGAAACACAGAACTGATGGATGCTCCCTCCATGTCTTTGCTCATGCTGATTTCCTTGCCCAGAGGAGACTAGCTCCTCTCCTTTTGGCCCAGGACACCTATATAATTTCTTCTTCAAGAAGTTCATTGGTCACTTCCTCAAAAATACCTACTCTTCCCTCTCTTTTCCCTTTCCTTTCCACAAGGTTCTCCCTGTGATCCCACACCTGCGTTTCTCTCATGAACTTCTCTAAAAGGCTGAGAGCATGTTGAAGTCCAGGAAGCAAGTTCAAGACCTCACCTATTATCTTCCCCCCATCCTTTTTTTTTTCTTCCCCCCATCTTTAGGGTATAATTAGGCGTTGGCATGCTCAGTTCATAGATTGAGAAACTGAAGTACACTCCATCTAGTTTCACAGCAGGATAAAAAGCCCAGAACCCCTCAGGAATCCTTTTTGGAGCTCTATCTCTATCCCCTGGGTAGCTGGTCAGTTCTTGCCTTTAGTAAACCTTGCCACAAGCCAGTGCTCCTTCCTGTGCCCTTCTGGAAGGTAACCATGGATACTACTGAACAGGCACAAAAGCCTTCAGCTAATGGAGACTACAAGTGGTTTTTAGGACACTTAGAAGGTTTTGAGGTGAGGAGCAAGCCCTGGAAACAAACGTAGAGAGCAAGCGTAGAACTTTTGCTTCAGGCCCCCAGGCTGGGTGTGTTTCAGTTGAATTGGACACAAATGTTCTACAGGGCCCTGGACTCTTGACAGTGTTTAGCCCCACAGTAAGATCTTAACTGTGAGTGGAGCACCAAAAGGGAGTCCCAGGCAGAAAGCAGGGACCCGGCTGTGAATACGGAGGTGTGGACTGACCTAAGTGATGCCAGCAACAACACGGACTCCTTAGGGGATCCAGACCACAGAGCCTGGAGGTAATGGAGTCTCCTGTCCCCAGACAGGGAGAGCCGCCAGCAAGGCCATGTCCTTTCCTCCCTCCGTCTTTGCCCCAGGTGCGTTTTTCTCCTCCCAGCCGAGGACTACAGGTAGGCAGGAGAAATTCACACCCAGATGTCTTTAAGAGGCGCCCTATTTCCTCAGAGCCCTTTCGGACCCCACGAGTTTCCCTTTTTATTCTCAAACAAGGCACGCCTGAAGCGTGGGGATCTGGGGAGCCCCACTTGCTTCTAGACTGTCGCGGAGCTAAGTCCCAACTTTCCAGTTCCTGCCGGGAGCTCCGCGCCTTCCGAGGTAAGACCGGGAAGCCAAACCGCATATAGACTCAGTTCCACTGGGTGGAGGGTAGGTGTGCATTAGGGTCCGTGAGGGTGTGTGCGGTTAAGCCTGCTTGTTACCTGAAGTGAGATCTCCAGGGGAAGGGGGGGCGGAGGAAGAGGGTTCCGGAGATGGACTTGGGGGCGAGAGGTGGCGGCAGTTCCCGGCGCTTTGACGTAGACTTGGAGAGGCGCCGAACACTCCCACTGCTTAAGAGGCACCGTAGCCTTCAGGACGCCGGGGCTGGGGACCGTCACTCGCTCGGGAAGCAGCCTGCGCTTTTCCTCTTCACACTCTCCAGGGAATCCGGGGAGGGTTGAGCAGGTAAGTGCGAAGGGGTGCCCTCCTACAACCTGGGAGTTGAGCATCGGTGTAAAGAATATAATGGGGCACAAAGGACACAGCAGGTCCTTGGCATCTCCGCCCTAAAGAGGATTAGGCCATTGAACCAGGTGTGGGATCGGGACGCAGGGAGCCCAGAGCGGGGCTGGTAGCGGGACGCACGAAGGACCCCAGGGTTGAGAACTTCCAGGCTCGGGGAAAACTGTCCTGAGAAGGGAACCTAAAAGAGCCAGTAAGATGAGTGTTGTGGTGCGAGCAGACAGCGAGTCCTGGACTACACTAACTTCAGCACAGTGGACAGCGTCCCGCGCTCTGTCTTCCAATAACCTCTGACGACTTGGCCGTGTTCCCTAAGGATAAACAGCCTTTGGGGCAACTTGACTTTGATATTTTAGTTCAGAAGAGGACGTATTGAATACAATTTTGTTCAGGGAGAGATCCTGTGTAAGTGATCTGAAATATTTTTGAATAGCCTTGAATCTCAACATGTCTTTTCCAAAAGGGAAAGAGCATGTTCAAAGGCATTTCTCAAATACTGATTTAAGGGTGCCTCAGTATGTTCTGCTGCTGTGTAGAAGAGAAGGATTCAATCCTACGGTGTTATCCTTAAATGTTCCAGGATAGGCATATTCCTATGAGCTGTGCCTTGCTTGCCTTCGTGATACTCACATCTAAGAGGTTTGGAAATACAAGATAAAACCGAAAGGGAGCTGCGTATGTCCTCCTGTTTTTTCTTTATGTTAGAGTTGTTTAAGTGTGATTTTGTGTGGTCTTAAAGAGTCAGATAAGCTTTTTTCCTTGGAAAAAAGAAAATTTAGATTAGTATTATTTTAAGGACATTATTTCTCATTGCACTTGTTTGAAGTGTAACATCATAATTTCAAAGTGTTATATAGTTTAATTTTTTAAGGATTTATTTCTTTCATAGAGAGACAGAGTTGGGGGGATGGGGCAGAGGGAGAGAATCTTCAAACAGTGGGGGGCAGGGCTTGACTCCACGACCCATGAGATCATGACCTGAGCAGAAATAAAGAGTGGGAGGCCCAACCAACCGACTGAGCCTTCCAGGGGCCCCTATATAGTTTAATTTTATTACAGCAGACTTTGAGAGCCAGAAAAGTTGAATGAGAGGCAAATGTTTTCACTAAAATTCTTGAGATTCATAGCAAGAAGAAAAAAATGATAAAAACATTATCTTTATGAAAATTATATCAGAATCATGGAGCATTTTAGGTGTTGATAAAATGTCAATTGATTCTACTCTAATGGATTGAATATATACCTCTTGGCTCCCCTACTTTTAGCACACTACCTTATGTTCATTTTTATTTATAACATTTTATAATTCTTATGCTTTTTTTTTTTTAAAGATTTTATTTATTTATTTGTCAGAGAGAGAGCGAGCACAGGCAGACAGAGTGGCAGGCAGAGGCAGAGGGAGAAGCAGGCTCCCCACAGAACAAGGAGCCTGATGTGGGACTCGATCCCAGAATGCTGGGATCATGACCTGAGCCGAAGGCAGCTGCTTAACCAACTGAGCCACCCAGGCGTCCCTCTTATGCTTTTTAAAAATTGAAAGTCTTCAAATAGAAAAACATCTATGGATAAAATAGATTAAAATTCTTAATTGAATGGGGGTCCTGGATTAGAATAAGTAGGCTAAACTATATATAAAATAATTAAAGCCATGCAACAAGATTTTAAATTTTTACTTAATATTCTTTTAAATTATGTTCCTCTGTTCTAGGGAAAACAAGTTCACTTACTCATCTCATAAAGGAACATGTCTTAGGAATAAGTACTTCCTATCTAAATATTTTGGTTTTATAGTACATGGCTTGGCAATGTGTCATTTTAGATAGAATGGGACTTAGGGGCGCCTGGGTGGCTCAGTGGGTTAAGCCGCTGCCTTCGGCTCAGGTCATGATCTCAGGGTCCTGGGATCGAGTCCCACATCGGGCTCTCTGCTTAGCAGGAAGCCTGCTTCCTCCTCTCTCTCTCTCTCTGCCTGCCTCTCCGTCTACTTGTGATCTCTCTCTGTCGAATAAATAAAATCTTTAAAAAAAAAAAAAATGGGACTTAGGGGAGGTATGATAAGACTATTCCTAGGGACAATGGTGTATTTCCTTTGCTGGCACCAAGGTTTTTAAAGGCATAATTATTTTCATTACTGAGTGGAGCTCAAGCAAGGATTAGTAATTTATTTCCATTCTATGCAGTTTCAGTGCCATGGCCAATCCTGGGAACAGAAGAGGGATCTACCACCCCTTGACACTTACCTGCTCCTTGCTCATTGTGGGAATGTGCTGTGTGTCTCCTTTCTTCTGCTATAGCCAGACAGACCTGCTGGCTCTTAACCAAGCTGATCCTCAGTGCTGGGAATCTTCTTCAGTGCTCCTCCTGGAAATGTGGAAGCCTCGAATTTCTAACACTGTTTCCGGTTTCTGGGATTTTATGATCTACCTGAAGTCTTCTGAGAACTTGAAGCATGGGGCACTGTTTTGGGATCTGGCCCAACTCTTCTGGGACATCTATGTGGACTGTGTCCTCTCCAGGAACCATGGCTTAGGAAGGAGGCAATTGTCTGGGAAGGAAGAGAAGATTTCAGCAGCACATCCACAGCACGCAGGGAGAAATCAAGGTGGTCACCTCTAGGTCCCATGTCTTTCAAAAGGGCCAATCAAATATGAATGTGCTCAGTTGTGAGGAAGAGGGAAATTGCTTTAGGAGAATTAATTGTGCTCTCAGGAGTGAACCCAAGAGCATGCAAGAGCACACAAATGATAGGATAGCACTTCCTTTTGTATTTCATGGTAGCTGTTTATATCCACATATTTTCCTCATTCTCATACTTCATGTGAACAGCAGCAAGGAAAAGTAAAAATACAAGTAAGGAAAAGCATGATTCCCAAAGTACAACACAAAACTATAAAGTGATTAGCCTGAATATTAGCAGTCATAACCTGTCTTTACATGCTGTGGATTTGGGAAGATTTGAATGGAAGTCTGGGGAATATCCACAACATACAAGCTCTCACCCTTTTTAAATAGAAAAAAAAAATGCTCCCTATAAATGGAGGGGCTCCTTGTGATATATTTAGTTGGTGAAATGAAGGGCAGAAAAATTGTTTGGCTTGCAGATTTACTCCTTGTTGCTTTTTGAACAAATCTCAAATATGTAATTAACTTCCAGCAAGTGGAGTGATTAATTTTTAGTAATTTGGAACTTCCGACAAATTTAGAGATTCTCACTGGTGCAAATATTATATTCAAAAACAGTCTTCTCTGGGGGCAATAAAAGAAACGTCCTTTATGGAATTAGGATTAGAACAAATGAGCCACTGTGAGTAAGCTGAGAAATAGATAACTTAGCCCTATTCATATTATTTTTTTCCCCTTTTTTAATGTTGTTTCAACCAATGAGCTTCCAGTCCTTTCAGCAAAGGCTGTTTGGGTGGTAGTGACTCTTAGAATTACTTATGCACTAGTGCAAAACTGAGGCATAACTAATTTTTGTATATTTTATTGTGAGAATTGTTTGTATATTTGTATACAAATTGTTATATATCCCTATAATTATATATCCCTATAATTGTTATATATCCCTGTAATTTCTCTATTAGAATAGCACTTAACAGTAACAGTTCTAAGTCAATCCTTTCCAAAGATATTATAGAGCCTTTATATATCTAGTTTGTTTTAACCTCACTAGCTAAATATCCTCATGCTTTGCTGATCCATTAAACCAGATAATCCACTGCTGTTATTTATAGATAAGTTTATTATTTTGGCAAGTGTTATTGTAACTTAAACCAATTTCCACTTTTAGAGGAAATATTCTTTTACCAGCTTAGCTACTAAAGAAACACAAAAATAAGTGTCCTTCAATGTTTGTTACCAATATTTAGAAACCATTTTAAGCAGAGGCTCTTCAGACATCAGCATCCATAGAATTGGATATTTTCTTCATTTGTAGTCTAGGACTCATTTTCCCATTCTTCACATATTTAGTTGTCATACTCAAGTGACCACCAATATTTATTGGGTTTTTTTGGTATTTCGCACTCACTTTAAATTACTAAAATATCTATAGAATAAATGAAAATCATATTTGAATTCAGACAAACATGAAAATAATTATATACATACACAAGTTCTTTTTCTTTTTCTTTTTTTAAGGTTTTATTTATTTGACAGAGATCACAAGTAGGCAAGAGTCAGGCAGAGAGAGAGAGGAGGAAGCAGGCTCCCTGCTGAGCAGAGAGCCGGATGCGGGACTCGATCCCAGGACCCTGAGATCATGACCCGAGCCGAAGGCAGAGGCTCAACCCACTGAGCCACCCAGGCGCCCCCACAAGGTCTTTTTCTAAAAGAGCTTCCAGTCGGCTTGCCTGCGTGTCACTATCAGAATCGTCTGAAGCTATGCGCAATTTTTTTGAGCATATTGCCACATAACATTTCTATCTTTTTTTTTTTTTAAAGGTAGTAGATTTATCTTCAGCTCCAGGAGCCACTTCTTTTCTCTTCCTACAGAGTTGGTGTTGACTCAGCTGGTCTGCAAATTTTAGCCAGAGTGGCTATGTAGCAAGAAGGAATATTTCACTTTATTGAAGTTATTTAAAGGTTGGCCGTAAACAATTGTTTGCAGATCAGGGAACAAAACTTTCCATTTCGATTGTATAATCACAGTCAAAGAGGGTCTTGGGTCAAGGAGACACCATGTCTAAAAGTTAAATAGTTGCTGGAACATTGAGATTTCATCTCAAGAGGTTTGATTAAATCTCTAGTGGCTGCACAGATTCTCCACTAATTTTTTCTATTGTCCTTGGGGGATTAATTTACTACCAGGTTGGGATGGGGGTGAAGGTGAAGTGATGTTCTTGGGGAAATCGAATCACTGGAACAGAAGGAAAGAATGAATGTGTCTACATAATATGCAAAAAGTTTTTTGTTATTTTGACGTCCTCAAATTTAAATAGTTTAAGCACACTTGAGAAATGTGTGTTGTTATGAATCATATTTTGTTAAAAACATAAAACTCTTATATAATTTTGTATGTTAATATATCATGTTTGTCAATATTGGGCCAACAAATATGAAAATAAGAAATCATAAATATCTATGTAACTTCAATTAACTTCATTAACTTACTTAGACCTCAGTTTCTTCATCTGAAAAAGAGGGGTGAGGAAAGAATTAGAAGGCCCTCTTTACATTCTCCATTCTAATATTCTCTGATTCTGTAGGAAGGAATTAATGAAAGGTATGTATTTAACTTGGGTAGAGTCTGGAAGAGCTTTACCCCAAAGACAGCTTACTGAACTGGGTGGTGACCTGGATACTGTAGTTGTTTATAACAATGCTTGTCAGGAACAGAGGGTATCCAGAAATGAGAATTCCAAAAATTCTGAGGGCTAGAGATAGCATCACTTGGGGAAAGACTAAAAGATCATCATTATTTAGTCTAGAAAGATATGAGTCAATAACTGAATGTTAAAATGTCCAGAAGGTGTGAAGAGAGTGTACCCAGCTTAACCACTAAATTATGACACATTATGTCAAGGCAGAGAGAAAGAGAGAGTGAAAGAGAGAGTTATAAATTGAGGAAAAGAGTAGACTGATAACTCCCAAATGGAGAATAACAGAGTTAAGGTTAACTCATGGGTTAATAAGGGCTTCAATGCAAATGAAGGGATTTTGAAGTATATCCCTGTTTGTGTCAAAAAATAATGGTGTTTTCCTTCAACATACCTTGCTCTGCCAGTGAGAAACAGAAAAACCTGCCTGCCTGAGACTGGCTGTTTAATGTTCTAGAAAAATTGTGAATCTTTGCATTCCTTCATGATGAGAAAATTAAAATTTAGATATATAATTTGATGATGTTTGCAGTTGGTGTGTAACTAGCTGGCAAATGTTATTTTGTTGTTTATTTTTTAAACACCAAGCATTAGAGAAAACAATGCTTCAGGAACATATATGTCATTAGTTTCACAAATGCTTGATTTTTTACTCTGCTTATTTCAAGAAATTTCCTAGTAACATCTTCAGAAATTAATCATCTAGAAATCAATCCTAAGGAAACATTCAGAGATGTGGCCAACAATGCAGTACATGGATTTCACTGTAATACTGTTTATAACAGCAGAAAACTTGGAAACGATTTAAAGTAACAGTTAACTAAATTATGGAATAAAGTGCATATACAAAGAACTTTAATATAAAAATCATACAATGACTATTTTTACTTTTTTAATCAGAAAAAAATCTTAATACATTAATTAACAAGGAACTATATTTATTATAATTTACTTTGTTATTTAAATTACAAAGGACACATAAACAGAGATTTACATATGCATTCTTGCAAAAAATTTATAGAGACTTAGATAGTGACAACTAAGTGTTTCTTAGATAGAAACAACAAACTTTCTTTTATTTTTAGAGATTTATTATTTGAGAGAGAAAGAAAGAGAGAGAGAGAGCATGCAGGGGGAGGGGCAGAGAGAGAGAATCTTCAATCAGACTCCCCACTGAGCATGGAGCCTGTAATGGGGCTTAATCCCAAAACCAATGAGATCTTGATCTGAGTCAAAACCATGAATCAGATGCTCAATTGACCGAGCCACCTAGGTGCCCCAACAAACTTTCTTTTAAAATCAAGGTATTGATATTTAATTAACCTGAGAATAATTTGGTGCTCTAATAATGAGTTCCTTTTCTCTACTTTCAGGTGCATATTCTCAGCAACTAAGAACACCTTTCCTAAAGAAGAAAGAGTTGATTGAAGGTTTGATAAGCATGCAGTTGCACAGGAGTGGGTCTAAGTTCATTGGAAAAGTCACCAGTGGCCTGGAAATAAAGAGAAAATAAATCTCACCTCATAGTTATCTCACATCTTGGAATTAAAAAACAAACAAACAAACATGTTTTTCTTGACTATTGATCATTTGTTTAATAGTGGGAATGTCCAGAGATAAATCATAAGCTACATTCTCTCAGAGTACTTCCTTACAGTTTCATTCTTTTAGCCTGCTAGCATGTTCCTTCAAATGGTGGCTTTAGTGTCAGATCATCCCACTGTCTGAGAGTTAAAATAGCTTCCAAAGAGGACCAGATTATTTGTCAGATTGTTTGTATTCACTCTGACAAATTGTTCTGGGATGCTGGATACTATTAATGAACCAGAGGGCCATACATTTAACTGAATACACTACATGACTTCCAAGCCATTAACCACTGCTTATGTATAAGCATACAAAGGACTATATTTATTAATTACCAGTTACTGACTGTAATACCTAATTCTTGTTTGAAATAATATTTTTGAATACTATATAAAACAAAGAACAAACAAGAAATGCACAAAAATGGCAAATAAAGCATTCTTCTAATGGAAACAAAATTAATAAGAGCTCTGGACCCCAAGTAACATTATTGGAGTATCTTTATTTTGACATTTGATGTTACCATTACTGATAATCTAAACTCTAATAAAATAGCAGTAAGCATGAGTATTTTATAATTAGCATATTTTCTATTTTTTAAAAAATTTTATTTATTTATTTGATAGAGAAATCACAAGTAGGCAGAGAGGCAGGCAGAAAGAGAGGGGGAATCAGGATCCCTGCTGAGCAGAGAGCCCAATGAGGGGCTCGATCCCAGGACCCTGAGATATGACCTGAGCCAAAGGCAGAGGCTTAACCCACTGAGCCACCCATGTGCTCCAGCATATTTTCTATTTTGATTAGATATTAAAACTCTGTAAGTGGTTAGTTATACTTTGCATCACAAAACAAACTAAAAGTAAAATGAACAGCATTATAATAAAAGAATCCATAAAAAATTTTTCCCTGAAAAATGAACAGACCTGATGAGGTTCACAGCACAGAAGTCCAATGAGCAAATGTATTTGAGATCCAGACACAATGTGATTTTTTATCTCTAATTACTTCCTCTTTCCAGTTGTTCTTTCACAACCAATACTGGACAATCAGTTTGAATTTCAGATACGTTAGCAATTTACTTGCTTTTTCCAGATCTAAAGGAAACATCAGTAAATGCTTTTTCATGGAAGGTTGAGGGGACTCCTTAAACTAAAAACCTCATCTAAATGTAATCGGAAAATATTTATTTAGATATTCCTTAGATAAAGATGCAAAGGCAATTCCATGGAGAAAGGGTAGTCTTTTCAACAATCAGTGCTTGAAGAAATTTTTGGGAGTGATGAGTATGTTCATGACTTGACTGTGGTGACAGTTTCATAAGTGTGTAATATGTCAAAAGTTCAACTGTGCATCATAATTATATGGAGTTTATGTCAATATACTTGTCAATTATACTTCAATAAAGATGCTAAAAAAGCAAAAAAAAGAAAATAAAGGGTTATCAGAAGACACAGCTGCAATTGAGAATTAACCAAGTTCTAACAACAGGGAAATGAAGTGGGGAAGGAAGTGGGGATGGAAACCAGCCTCAGCTTTTCTTGGTTGGGAGAATGAGCACGTTAAAAGCTGCCATATTGTATTTTTACATGGGCTCATGGTTCTACTTTCCTGCCACTTTCTCTGATACCTTTTATCACATTCCTAAAAACCATCATGTAAACTTATTATCTCTTATAAACCATGGAAGAAATGCCACGCCTGCTCACAGAAATAGTGTTAATATATTAATTAATTAATATATTAATGTTAATATATATAATTAATATATTAATATAATTAATATATTATATTATTACCCTCACCTGGGTACTATTCAACAGAGGCTGCTGAATTTTTCTGTAAAGGATCAGATAGCAAATATCATGATCGTAGGCTATCTGTCTCTATTGCAACTAATAATCAATTCTGCTTTTGTAGAATACAAGTAACCATAGACACCATGAGAATGAACGAGCATGGTTGTGTTCTAATAAAACTTTGTTTATGGACAATGAAATCTGAATCTGTATCGTTTTCAGGTGTCCCAATACATTCTTCTTTTGACTCTTTCAACAATTTTTTAAAGATGTAATGACCACTCTTAGCTCATAGCGTGGACAAAACAGGCAATGGGCAGGATTTGGCTTGTGGAGTGTGGCTTGCTGATCAGTGTTTTAGGGGTTGCTTATTAAACTCTTAAGGAATACATTATATGTTAACAAAAAAACTCATAAGGAATAAGCTAGGATAAAGTGAGAAGGACAGTGAATAAAATAAAAATAAAAAATTTGTAATAGGCTGAAAAGCAAATATTATGAGATTGAACAGGGATAACCTAGTCCTAATCCTATTCAATTGGACGTTATTTTCTTCTGGAACAGTACTAGAAATTATAGATCATATAAATAAAAGTCCACATAAATAAAAAAAAGTCCTCTCTAAATGCAGCATGGATTGCACATGAAGATAATATGTAAAAGACTAGAATCAGAGCAATATTTATTGAGAGAAAGTACAGAGCAGAGTACAGACTCAGAACCCAGGTTCAAATCTCAACATCATTAACTACTGGCCAAGAAACTTTGGAAAACTTACTGACCCTCCTTGTGCCATAGCTCCCTCATAAAATTCGATATCTACTTGCTAGTTTTGTCTTGAGGATTAAATGAGTTAGTGCTTATAAGGTGCTTAGAAGCTAAGTGCTCCAACAGTAAAACAATTATCAGCTATATCTTTGGACATTATGGAATTAAGCACCTATACTGCAGTCATACATGCAGAGAAGGGAGGCTGACAGATACATTAGCCAAACTCACCACATATAGGATTTCATTTTATTATTTTATTATTTTTTAAAAAGATTTTATTTATTTATTTGACAGGCAGAGATCACAAGTAGGCAGAAAGGCAGGCGGGGTGGGGTGGAGAGCAGGCTTCCCGCTGAGCAGAGAGCCAGACTCAGGGCTTGATCCCAGGACCCTAAGATCATGACCTGAGCCGAAGGCAGAGGCTTTAACCCGCTGAGCCACCCAGGCGCCCCACATACAGGATTTTAGCAAGAAATGTTCATGATTTCAAAATAAATTTATTTTGAGATCATTGTTGATTCCTATACGGTTATAAGAAATAATACAGAGACATCCTATATACTCTTCATCCAGTTTCCCTCCATGGTAGTGCCACCTTGCATAATTACAGTAGAGTAATGCAACCGGAACATTGACATGGGTACAATCCACAGAGCTTATTCAGATTTCACCAGTTTTGCATCCACTCAATGGTGTGTGGGTGTGTGTGTGTGTGTGTGTGTGTGTGTGTGTTTAGTTCTCTGCCTGTTCTTGTCAGGAGCGTCCAGATAGAAAATTTGGTCATCAATTCAATAATTTAAATGATATTTGAAGAAGACAATAGCATGAATTCATGTAAATCACACACTTGGATATCACTACCAAGGTATCTAAATTAAGAATAGCCCTCTGCTGGAAACTCAGCACACCCAGATTCAACTCGGCCTCTTCTTTCCATCTCCCTCTACCACCTCTCACTCCCAAGGATTTACTTTGAACTGAGGAACTAAGACACATGAGTAGGGAGATTAAAAAAAATAAAACTTATACTCTTCATGCTTCACACCAAATTCTTGAGAGGCAAAACACTTAATTCTTTAGTACAGATTATGGAAAATATGTTTCATCACCATCCTAAGGGACCTTGGAGCCTGGATTCCTACTAATCACTTCAAGCTGGACAAGGTGATTTGATCAACAAGGGCACAGAAGGCCTTGGACAGCCGCTCAGCTCCACAGTACAGGTCCATGTTTACTGAAGGCTGCAGGCCTGAAATCAACAAATGGGAGAGTCCTTCAGAGAAAGCACCTGTAGGTTTTCAAGCTGATCTTGCTAAAGCTCTAACACAGAGAAGATATGGAAGCCATCTCTCCCCAGGCCCTGATGACAAGGCCCTCTCTCTACCAGCTGACAAATAAGACGGCTATTATTTGCCATGATCGATTCCTAATTGCACTTGGTTGTGGGTTCTTTTTTTTTTTTTAAAGATTTTATTTATTTATTTGACAGCCAGAGATCACAAGTAGGCAGAGAGGCAGGCAGAGAGAGAGAGAGGAGGAAGCAGGCTCCCTGCTGAGCAGAGAGCCCGATGCGGGGCTCGATCCCAGGACCCTGAGATCATGACCTGAGCTGAAGGCAGAGAGCCACCCAGATGCCCCGGTTGTGGGTTCTTAAAGGGCATTTTTCCATGACACTGAGCACAAATCTGAGTAGCCAGAAAGCCCACTCTCGAGCAGTGGTCTTCAAACTCTGGCATCTATCAGAATTACCTGGAGGGTGTAAAGACAGATTGCTGGCTCCTACTCTAAGAGCTCTGATTCAGTACTTATGATGGTTAATTTTATGCCTCACCCTGACTGGCTACTAAAGCCCAGAGGTTTGGTCAAATGTTATTCTGGGTGTGCTATGGGGGTGTTTCCGGACAAGGTGAATATTTGAACCTGCAGGCTGACTACAGCTAATTGCCCTCCCTGATGTGATTGGGCTTCATCCCATCAGTCGAAGGCCTGAATTAAGCAGAAAAGCTGAGTAAGAGAATTCCTTCTGCTTGACTGCCTTGTGGCTCCCACATCAGTTTTCCTCTGCCTTCAGCTTCCAATCAAAACAGCAGCTCTTCCTCAGTCTCTAGCCTGCCAGCTTTTGCACTGGAACCCCACCCACTGGTTCTTATAGTTTTCCAGTTTGCTGACAGTAGATCTAGGGGCTTGTCAGCCTCCATAATCACATGGGCCAATTCCATAAAATAAGTCTCTTTCTGCCTCTTCCTATCTCTATCCTATTGGTTCCATTCCTCTGGCAGTCCCTAACTAATATAGGGTATCAGGGAAGGGGCCCAAGAATTTGCATTTCTGATATGGTCCCAGGTGATTCTGATGCCCT